GTGTGCCAGGCCGGGTCCAGGACCAGGTCTGACTCAGAGTCTGGGGGTCAGGCCGGGTTCAGGAGCAGGTCTGACTCTCAGAGTCTGGGGGTCAGGCCTGGTTCAGGAGCAGGTCTGACTCAAGGTCTGGGGGTCAGGCCGGGTTCAGGAGCAGGTCGCTGTTCAGAAACCCCGGCATGGACGAGTACAGCTCTTGCTCCTCCTCTGTTTCCATGGTGACTCGTTTGGTCGTCGTGGCATCGGGCCCAACGTCCTTGGACGCCTTAGACGTCTTCTTCCCTTCCAGCCAGTAAGTCACCATGTCACCCTTCCCCTGTCAGAGATGGGACAGAGCCAGGGTGTTACTGGACAGCTCCCAGTGTCCAACAGAGCTGAGCTGTGGCGGCAGTGAGCGGCTCACCTTGACCTGCAGCGTCCCTCTGCAGTCCAGCGTGTAGCCACCGACCTCCTCCAGCAGGTAGAAGGTGCTGGAGCTGCACTGGATCTTCAGGGCTGCAAAGACACCGACTTGGTGTGAACAAGGCAGGTTTATAAAGGAACAGTCCACCACTTTGTGATCGTTTTACAACTTCCTCTGGTTTCTGTTCAGGTCTAGGAAAACACTAAAAGACTTTCTGGGTTATTAGTCGTGTCATAGTCGCAGCTTTTACTGAGAGTAGAAGGACGTATGTAATCCCTGGGCTCGGATACATAACTGTGCTGTCGGTCGCTGTTTGTGGACCCGTTCCTCCAGTTCAGGCCTCTGGCCGTTTCAGCGTTGTGCGCCACTTCCCTTCTGCTTCTTCCTTTTCATCCGCAAGCTTTATAAAATGCAGGTTAAATTCTGTGGTGTCGCTCTTTGCTTCGGCAGCACCGACTTTGTGCTCTTGCCTACTGTTTATATTCCAGTGTAGTGTTAATGAAACGTAGTTTTTCGGTGGTGCCGTATTAGAGGATCATAATAAAGATAATTATAAAGATAATAGACATTATCCCTCAGCAGTGCAAACAAAGGTGCAGGTGTTTCTGTGCTAGCAGTGTGTTACCAAGGCTGTTGGACTCCATCCTGGACGCCGTGTTGACCGTGTCTCCAAACAGACAGTAACGAGGCATCTTCGTCCCCACAACCCCCGCTACCACCGGACCTACACGGACAGAAGTGGGGCCAAAGCAGGTTTAGTGACAGCTTTGTCTAAAAGGCCTTCAGCACCTGCTGTGTTTGTGTGTGAGCGTGTAAATACCGGAGTGTATCCCGGCTCGTATCTGCAGCTGTGTGCTGGGTTTGTGCGGGATCCTGAAGGTGCGACAGACGCCCACCAGGTCCAGAGCCATGCTGGCGATCTCGGAGGCGTGGAGGATCCCGTTCTCCCGGGGCACGCCAGACACCACCATGTCTGCAGACAACAGACAGTCCTTGTGTGAAGCTTGGCACCTTTAGTTTGTGTTGAAACGCCTTTAGATCGGCGTCTCTGGGAGGTTTTAGTTAGTGCTGCTGTTTAACTGTTGTACCTAGTGGTGTCTACCCTGTTTGCTGTGTGGACCCGGCGGCCTTAAACCAGTGAGACAGTCGTAGTGTACATTTATCTCTGTGAGGCCCCCTGAGCCTGGGGCCGAGCAGCCGGTCCTTCAGAGACAGACATACAAGTACAAACGTGCATGTGTGTCACTCACAGGCAT